CTTATAAGTGTTTAGCGGCAGCTTTGATAGTTCTGACGGAGTCTGGCAGGTAGGGCCTTCACGGCAGGTGACCCTGTAGGATAACCAGCCTCTCGCTGCAGCTGCTCTAGAAGACAGCCAGGGCCCTGGGCTCAGAGCCTCTCTTCTTGTCTGCAGGAAGCCGGCCAGGGAGCTCAGGGCAGTGCAGAGCTGAAGGGTCTTTCAGCTCAGTAGGCACAGGCGGTGTCACAGGCACCTGGTGAGGGACTGGTTCCTGTGAGTCTTGATCTTGCTCAGCTCAGGACCTGAGCTGTAGTGATTGGGCTTGTCTTAGCCTTTGCACCCAGGGACATGTTCCTCGTCAGCTGTCTGTGGGACTCTTTCCCCTCCCTCTCCCATTGCAACACAGCTCTGACAAAGCTCTGTCCCCCTCTCGTCCCTCTGGACGAATGTTGCTCCCCTAGATTGCCCGTGAGGCAGAGGCCGCCATCTACCACTTGCAATTATTTGAGGAGCTCCGCCGCCTGGCGCCCATTACCAGTGACCCCACAGAAGCTGCCGCCGTGGGCGCCGTGGAGGCCTCCTTCAAGTGCTGCAGTGGGGCCATAATCGTCCTCACCAAGTCTGGCAGGTAGGACGTGGCAGCGGCTCCTGGAAATGCCCTGCTCGGTGGCACATTTCCATGGGGGTCCTGGGAGCAGCACATTGAACAATGCTCAGGTAGCACTGAGCCAAGGTAAGACCCTACTCCCTGCCACCTGGACCCTGTAAGGAAGGAGCTCCTTTCGCCTCCCTCCAGGGTCCAGGAACAAGCAGCACCCATTCCCTGGGCTCCAAGGACCCCAGGCAGCACTTGTAAAGTATGAGGGATTTGGACCCAAAGCAAAGTTACAGGTTAAGATGAACTAGAGATTTCACTCCATAACTGCAGATAGACAACTGATTACTTGGTATTTAAAGGCTGATCCTAAAGTAGTAGACCACCAGCTTTGATTATCTCAGTTACTGTGCACTCTTTAAAAATTCATTTTGGAAAAACAGTGCTGTTCACTGACATGCCGTTTGGTTAGTGCATGACCGCCTCTCTGTTTGAACTCGGAAGACATTTCTGGCTCAGGAAGTTCACCGTGTTGTCATACGGCCAAGCTGAGGCCTATGTTTGGCCACTGACTCGGGACCCTTCCTAGTCCTGGACATTGAGTTATCGTCCTTCATGCCCCCGGTCTCGGTCCCTCGTCCCTCCCCACGGTCAGCTGGGGTTTCATGGGAGACGAGCCGGGCAGGCAGTCCCCATGCACCTGGCGGCAGCAGGGGAGCCGCCTGCAGAGTTCAGATCTGTGCCGCTTCCCTCAGCAGAGCGCTTAGGATAGGCAGCTCCAGAGACTGGGGTTGACCTTTATGAAAAGGTCCAGCCTTCGCCATTTGACTATTTTTAGCTCTAGTCTCCTGGGATTTCACACTTAGCCCATCCTGACTTCAGCAGTTACTTCCTTCTGAAAGTCTCGCATGGAGGCCAGGCTGTAAGCAGGGCATTCTCTGCTGTAACATGACTTAAGTTTCCTTGACACCTGTCGAGTGTCCGCATGGCTTGCCTTCTGGGCCCAGTCCCTCCTTCGTTCTCTTCCCGACTCCTGAGACACATCTGTGAGTGCAAGTGTACAGGAAGTAAGTGCCCAGCACCAGGGCGGAGACGCCTGCCTCCCAAGGAAACCTGCATAGGCAGAGCCTCCCCCACCAGCACTTCCAGCTCCCGGTCTTGCCCTCTGGATAGCGCCCAGATTTCTCAGCCTCACTTAAGATACTCAGGTTTGACTCGATCTCTAGAACTCAGTTGCTGGGACTGTTTCAGGGACCTGGAGGACGTGCAGGGTGGGGACGGGGACCACTGATAGGGAAGGCGGCTCGTGGTGCAGATTCCCGGGGGGTGGTGGGCCCTGTTTCTGTTCTTTGCAGATGTCAAGGGTCACATGCTATTCACATGCTGCGCTTGGCTTATAGGAGTTACTGGCCTCCAGAGAAGTGGGTGCTGGGAGGCTGGGCCGGGGCTGCCTCCCTGTGCCAGAATGGAAAAATTCGGACGGGGCGTTCTGCCAGCTATGGGCCATGTGGGGAAAGTGGGTGAGACTGACCATGCTGGGTCAGTAGGATCATGGGGCTCTGGTCTGTAGGGAGGGGTGGAGGACAGATGAATCACACAGCTCTGGAGAAAAGTGATACGCTGTGGAGGGTATAGGAAGAGACTGCCCTAGCCATGGGAGCCAGTTCCTGGCTCCCACAACAGGGCCCAGGGAGTAGATGTTGAAATGGCCAGAGCCTCAGGCTGGCATAGTGAGTTGCATTTCGGGGTGAGCTGTAGAAGCCCCTGAGGGGTTTCCTGGGAGGCTTCCGGGACAGTTTAAAGATCTCTTCCCCCTGTCTTTATCCCATCTTAGGTCTGCTCACCAGGTGGCCAGGTACCGCCCCCGTGCCCCCATTATTGCTGTGACTCGTAATCACCAGACAGCTCGCCAGGCCCACCTGTACCGTGGCATCTTCCCCGTGGTGTGTAAGGACCCAGTGCAGGAGGCCTGGGCTGAGGACGTGGACCTCCGGGTGAACTTGGCCATGAATGTTGGTATGTGGCTGGGAGCAAGGGCTAGAGCCTGGGGTGGGGCTGCTTGCACACGGGCTCCCTGGGGCAGTGGAAGGGGGGATGTGCAGACTGTGGGCTGCAAGAGCCCTGGCTGCTCTCACTGGGAAAGTTCTCTTTGATTCCTCCATCCCCTTCCTTGGTGTCTTGGGCTGAGCCCAGGAGGGGAGAGAAGGACTTGGCGCTGTGGAGCTGAGCAGCCCACTTTGTGTCTCCTCACTCTTCCAGTCTAGGGGCCCAAGCCAAAGGGCCCCAGGTAACTGGGATTGTTTGTTCTTTGGCATCTTATTACTCAGATTTTTAAATAAAATTGGTCAGAGCTCCTGCACTTGTACTGTTGGGTACTGATGTGGACTCTGTCCCTGTGTGAGTATAGGATGCCATGGGATGAGAGGAAGCAGCTAGCTCTGACCTTAGGCAAGGCTCTCCACCCCTAGAGTATAAAATGAATGATGTCCAAAGGTCCCTGGCAATTCTGCCATCGGAATGATACGGAAATCTCAGGGCTGCCCTCACCCCTTTGCTTGGGCTCTGAGGCTGGTGCCACCTTGTGGTGTAAAAAAGTAATAGCCAGCCCTGCTTGCTATTTCTGGGTTGTGGGGCAATGTGCCAGGTTCATACCTGCCTCACTTAGCAGTGACTCACATGCTTCCCTTCTCTTCCTTCAGGCAAGGCCCGAGGCTTCTTCAAGAAGGGAGACGTGGTCATTGTGCTGACTGGGTGGCGTCCTGGCTCTGGCTTCACCAACACCATGCGTGTAGTGCCTGTGCCATGATGGGCCCCAGAGCCCTTCCAACCCCTGCCCCGTCCCTTTCCCCCAACCCATCTATTAGGCCAGCAATGCTTGTAGTGAGTGCTCACTTAGGGCTGTGGTGTGGCACTGGTGGGCTGGGACACCAGGGAGGAAGGTTAATGCCTCTGTATAACATGGCTACTTTTAAGACCCTGCTCTGGTGAGGTAGCCCAGAGCTAGGCTACCGATCTTTTGGCCCCACCCAAGCAAGAGAGGCAGGGGTGCAGGACTGGAGGCTCTAGAGCTTAACATAGAGGGCAACAGCTCCTGCTTCTCCGTCGTGCAGTCTGTCCAGTTCCTGTAGAAATGTACACTCAGAGCACCCCCAAGCCTCGCCTGGGTCAGGAGATAGCCAGCTAGAGAAGGCATTGGTTCCGGTGTCAGCAGACTCTGGCCCTGGCCTTCACTTGCTTCTCCAACCCCGTCAGCCTTCCCCACTCCCACCTTCCGGGGCACCTCTGTTCCTGCACTCGACTCAGCTGTGACTGCAGACAAACACTCCACCCTCCACCTTCATTTTCCCCACTCCAGCTGCCTCCAGGCCTGTTGCTATAGAGCCTACCTGTATGTCAATAAACAGCAGCTGAAGCACCTATACTGCCTCTCTTTTCTGATGGGGGTGGGGGCTGGTCCCTGCCCTCTGAATAGGGTGAGAATGGCATGGGCCTCAGGCTCCTGTTGGAGGCTCCCAAACAGCTCAGGCCACCTGTTGTCCTGTCCGTCTCCACAGTGCAGAAGTGCAGGGAAGCAGCAGCTGACTCTCGCATAGGTTACTCGCTTCAGGACTCTGGGAAGGGGTGCTGGCTGTGTAAAAGCTGCAGCTGATGCCCTGGCTGGTTTAGCTCAGTGGAGTGAGTACCTGCCTGCAAACCAAAGGGTCACTGGTTTGATTCCCAGTCATGGCACATACCTGAGGTGGGGGGCGGTGCACAAGAGCCAACCACACACTGATGTGTCTCTTCCTCTCTAAAATAAACAAAACACCTTGCAGCTGGACATTTTAATGGCTTGCTTGAACCAAAGATGAGAGGACAGTGACAAGGGACCCTCTCCTGCTCTGATGGGCAAACTGGGAGTGAAGTGGCCCTTACCCTGCTCTCTTAGGCCTTCAGGCAGTAGAGGCCCCTGGTGGGAGCTGTAGGGTGAGACCTGGCTCCTGAGACCGGCTTCTGCTCCCAGTTCCCAGCACAATCTCAGACCTGGTCTGCGCCCCTTCTGTTTGCTATGCCCTCCCTCCATGGCGCAGCTGGGTCAGGGAGAGTTTGGGGAGTAGAAATGAATCTGACGTGGACCTTCCCCCTCGCCTGACCTACCTTGTGAGTTTGGTGGGTGGGGATACTCGGAAGGGGCCGCTAGGCCAGAAGAGTTGGGGAGATCTGAGTGTGAGCCCAGTCTTAGGGCCCAGTTCGTTGGCACCCCGCCAGCACCACCAATCAGCCCTTCTGCTTCCACAGGCTTCCCCCACTCTTCGTCGGGGCACTTTCATTCTTTCCCAGGCTCCTTGAACAGCGTTTCGCCTGGGCAACACTGAAGTTTCCAATTCTGGGGGAAGTGCATGGAAGCATTCTAGCTCCATGTTTGTCGACTGTCATGTTCAACATGCCTCTGGTGTGGAAAGAAGTTGAAAGCTACCCTGGAGTTCAGTGCTGGGAGGGTTTGGAGGAGGGCTGGAACCAGAGCCGAGACTGGGAGGGCTGGAGAGGAAGAACGTGGGGCCAACCCAAGGCCCTCGCTGTGAAGGGTGAGAGGTACAAACCCAAGGAGTCGTAGGATCCTTGCGGCGCTGGAGTCTGGAGAGGGGAAGGACCAGCCAGTGGGCAGGGCTCGTCCCGTTAATGGCAGCCAATGGGCGGGAGGAGGCAGGCCCTCTGGCGGGCGGGGGTCGGGCCAGCCGGGTCAGGCAGCTCGGTCCTCGGGGCGCTTGCTGGAGGCGCCGTGATGACTGCTCTGAGCAGGGTTGAGGCTGCGGAGGCCGGCAGGTAAGGGGCTGCAACCCTCACCCTGGGCTCGGGGCCCCGAGGCTGCTGCGAGAGGCCGGGCGGGAGCCGCCGTGCTGGGTGCCTTCTGCCCAGAGGGCAGGCACTTCCCGGCCACCAGAGCGCAGGCTCGGCTCCAGAACTTCCCCGCGCCCACCCTGGTGCTTCTCGGGCTGCTGGGTGTTCATGCCAGGGCGCACGTTGTTGGGCTTGTCTGCGCTCAGCGAGAGGTGTCGGGACGTCGGGATGAGGGACCTCGGGGCAGCATCAGGGCTGCGGAGGGCACCCCCTTTGGGACTCCCCCCGTAGTCCACCACCACCACCACCCTCTGCCATCATCACTATTCATTCATACACGCACCCATTCATTCACTCATTCCCCAGCCATGTCGACCCCCAGCCCTGAGTGCTCCCCACCCGAAGGCTGGTGCTTCCCTGCCGCCCCCTTGGTGGGGGTGTCAGCCTGTCTGCCTTCCCAGCCAGGTGTGCGATTGTAGTGCCCTGCGGATGCCCAGGAGGCAAACCGGAGCTGTAGTGGCATGACTGGGCCGCACCCGCGCGTCGGGCCCATCCTGGTCGGGCGGGCTGGGGCCGGTCTCTCAGCCTCCAGATCTGATCCAAAGTCTCTCTGGGAGGAAGAAAAGTTCTTGCAGCGGGGGAAGGGGCAAGGAGGCAGGGGAAGGGGGCAGGTGGTATTTCAGATGATATTGAGAATTGTGGCCTCTGCCCCTTGGGGGATGGGATTATTTGGAGGAAGGCAGAGCCAGTGGATGAGGCTTGTTCAGGTCCCAGGCACCACAGTCTGAGCTCTGGGGCCCCGGGGTTGGGGGGGGCAGCCTGGAAACCCTAGCCCTCTAGCACTGAGACAGAAGGCATGGATGTGAGTCCTGTGCCCACGCCACACAGGTATTTGGAGCTGTGGGAATGCTTCAGGGCTCCCTCTGTCCTGTCCTCAAAGAGGCTGGTGGGGCCCTACCCAGCCGCCCCTACCCCGTAATTGTTTAAAGGGGGCGTCGTTGTAGGGATTGGGCTCCTAGAGAAAGAGTACCCTGACCATCTGTGACGTCTTTGCGCCATGTATACCTCCAGCTGGCTCTGAGGTTCAGCTCTTTTCAGAGCAAAGACTTCTGGAGTTGCCAGGAGAGGTGGATAGAGGGTGTTCCTCCCTCTCTGCAGTGGGGTGGGGGTCAGTATGCCCCTCCACAGTCCTCTGATCACACTGGCTGGAGTCCAGTCCAGTCCATGCTGGCAGACACACTCAGATGTGAGGCTGCAGTTTGACCAGGCCAGTGAAGCAGTGAGCATCTCTGGAGCAAATGGGCAGTCTGCAGGGTGCAGCTGACAGAGGCTGGCACTGAGCTTCCAGGGCAGTTTCCGCTGGAGACAAATCAAAGCTCTCCTTCCTGACTTACCTTTGAGAGAACGTTCTGAATATCCTAGAGGGGAAAGCCCAGGCCCTATCTATGTCTTGTTGTTACTAGTTGCTACTAGTTGCTTTCAAATTAAAAAAAAAAAAAAATTAGTTTAGGCAAGTCCTCAAAGTCTTAATGCAGGCCAGAGAGACCTGGGTGCCTATTCATCCACCTGGGATGCCCCCCGAGGCTGAGGTGGGCAGTACTAGGTATGGCTTTATGGCAGCCAGCCTCTCTGCAGCTTTTCTGCCCACCTGCTCTGGTGGTTCCTCCCAGTCCTTAACCTGGTGAAGCTGTGGCTTTGGTCCTTGAATGCTACATACATACCATATTTATCAGAGCAATGTGAAGAGCCTTGTTCAGGGAATCAGGAGTTCTCAGCCAAATGCTGTTCCTGTTTTGCTGTGACTTGAAGACGAGGCAGGTCTTCTCTCTGGGCCTGCTTTGCCCCACGTACACCTCCAGCCAGCTCCGAAGTCCAGCTCCTTTCAGAGCACAGACTTTCATGGTTGCAGGGAGGGGCGTAAAGGGTGTCCCTCTACCTGCCAGTGAGGCGATTGGACTGTAGACCCCCTAAAGCCCTTCTCCATGTAGTCATCCAGTGATTCTGCTGCCTAGCACATTTCTCCTCAATTTCCGAAGGCATTTGATTTCTTCACATTATTTCCTCTTTGCTATGACTACCTATAGAAAGCCCATGCATTTGAGAACAGTGCAGCACTCCACTTCGGTGTCCAGTGTCTGCATCCGGGACACCAGAAAATCACTTGTTTTGCTCTTTTCTGAGAAGTGAAAATCGTTCTTTGGCGTGAGGTCCATCTTGGCCACGATGCTGCTCTTCACCTGGGCTGCAGGGCATGGATCTGTCACCGCCTGTTATCACCAACCTTTGAAGCTTTGATTAATTCCTCAGCTGTTTACTAAGGTAGGAAAAGGAGAAGGGGAGGGCACAGAAGCCCCTGGACCTGGAGCTTTCTGTGTGATTCAGAAGGAAGTGCCTCCCCAGGGAGGAACTGCCTGTTACTGAGTGGATCCCAGAAGGAGGAAACTAAGCCCCCGCAGGGCAAACGTGTCCCTCCTCCCTCCCCAGCACAACTGCACCTTTTTATTGGTCTGGAGATGCTCTGGTCTCGTAATTTAGGACTGGAGTGTTTTAACAGCTTGTGATGGTTAATCCAAGTCCTTGTCCTAAATCAGTGTTTCCCTCAGGTTTAAACTACACCACAAAATCACATCGTTAATTTTTTAAATAGACATTTGCTTTTGGCAGCCACTGTGGTTTTTTTTTTTAATATGAAATAAAAAGCATGTAAAGAACTAGTTCTGATCAAACATGAATTGCTTTTCCTCCTGATGTGTTGACATGACAGGACAGTGATATTCAATGATTGTCAGAGTCCTGCCGGCATCTCATTTTGTCAGTGTCCCTGTGTTTTATCTGACTTACGGTCAGAGCAGCAGTGTGGATGGTCCGGGTGAGCCCGCCGCCGTGACGGGCAGCAAGACTGGTTTCCTCTCTCTTCTATAGAAAAAAATGAAATATTTCTGATATGCTTTAACATGAATCAAATTCCTTGAAATTTGCCCATGATCACCAGGGCCACGCAAAATGCTATTTTAAAATAAGTTTTGAAGTTTGAATTTTGAAGGTCTGCTCAGAATGTTATTTTAAAATAACCTAGTCACAATACCTCAGAATTGATATGCATATAGGGCTTCCTTGATTACAGGCGGAAAATGCTTATATTATTTAAATTAAAACTCCAATAGCATTTTCACACCTAAAAAAATAACAGTAACTCCTTAAAATCATCACATATCTAGTTATCATTTAAAGTTCCCCCACCAACTCATAAATGTTTTTGTACCACTTATTTATTTCAGTAAGGATACCAGTGAGGACTTACAAGTGGTCGGCACATCACATGTCTATGTCTATTTCTCTGTCGTCTTTTGTAAGCTGTAGGTTCCCTTCCGTTTCTTTGTTGTTACAATTTCTTTGTTGAAGAAACAGTATTATTTGTCCTATACTATTTCCCAGTTTGTTGGTGTTGTTTAAAATATTCCTCTGACTCCTGTATTTTTTAAAAGATTTTATTTATTTATCTTTAGAGGGGAAGGGAAGGAGAAAGGGAAAGAAACATCAATGTATGGTTGCTTCTCATGCATCCCCTGCTGGGAACTGGCCTGCAACCCAGGCATGTACCCTGACTGGGAATCGAACTGCGATTCTTTGGTTCGCAGGCCTGCGCTCAACGCACTGAGCTACACCAGTCAGGGCTGACTCCTGTATTTTTTATAAATAGAGAGTTGGATCTAGAAGTTGCTCAGATGCAAGAGGTGTTAAGCTCTTGAGGAAGCACATCTGGCTGTTTCTATTTGAATGATGTTAGCGGCCATTGATGATTATTTCATTCAGACCCATTATTCATTAGAGATTGTAAAATGGTATTGCTCTAATTCTGTCACTCTTTCATCATTTATTAGCTTGAATCTATCCATAAAAAGAAGTGTTTCCTCTTTATTTGGTTACCCTGAGGTATAGCTAGTACTAGAAAGGCAAAATTTAACTCTTTATTTTTATTAACAATTTTTCAAAATAATGAAATGAGTCCCTAGTACTTGCTAAAGGTGACTAATTTTTAAATTATTATAACCTTGTGGATTTAAACTGAGTTGAGGTGTCTCAGTCCATCTTAGACATCATTCTTACTGACATGCAAATTGCCCCAGCTTCTGCCATTTCCAAAGGCTCCTGAGTCCTTGTGCCATGACCGAGTCTTTGCCGGCTTCCTTGTGTGATTAGATATTTCATGCTCATTTGTGCATTTCCTACCCAAATCTGGAGTCAGCCATTTCTCCAAGGAGTGTAGATTCCTTTTAGTAGGAAATGGTATTTAGAGACCATAATCTAAGCACCAAGGGTGTTTATTACTAGCTGAATACTTATTTTTTATGGTAATCAGTTTTGGAGTTTATATTCTAAATCCATTTTGTTGCCGATCAAATTGAAGTTGTATTTCCTATCATTTGGGGAGTCATAGGCTGCATTAAAAATCGCATACAAGTGAAATTCTCTCTTTCCAGAGGCATGCCTCTTTGCTCAGACACAACAGTTTTGCCATCATTTCAGGAGTCCGCTGACCCACCCTGACCCTTTGCCTGAACTCTGGGGTCTATTAGACTGTCAGCTGTGGGGCATGAAAGTGGAGGAGGACTTGGGAAAACTAGGCTGTAGGGTCTTCCAGTATCAGATCCAGGAGAAGAGAGGCTCTGAGTGGCCACAGACCAGACTCTGCACTGGTCACAGCAACAGTGGGGATCCAATTTTATTAAGGAAGGAACATGATGACAAAGATTTGTTCCTGGTGAAAGATCAGTAGAGTACAGTCCATCTGGGTGTTGGAAAGAATTTTGTAACAATCAGGCTACAGCGATATACGTGATGGGTGATATTCACATGTAGGCACATACTTTGAAATTATGCACGCCCAGTTACAAATCTACCTTTTTTTTTCACCCACTCGAATATTTATTTCCTTATACCAAGTTCCTTGATGTGGATAACAGTGGACAAGTTCTTTTTTCTTT